ATCTCCGAGCTTTCACACACGAAAAACCCAAGGCATAGCGCTCATATTTAAGTTGGGCAGAGTATAGCTACAATAGTAGTTATCATAGTTCTATTAAAATGACCCCGTATGAAGCGGTCTATGGTAGGAAACCTTCTCAAATTCTACCATACAAAAAAGATGCTACACCAGTTCAGGCTGTGGATGAGTGGTTGCAGGACAGACATGCACTCTTACAATTGCTCAAAACAAACCTACGGGAGGCTAAAGAGCGTATGAAGCAGAAAACTGATGCAGGTCGACGTGAGGTGAATTTTGAAGTCGGGGATAATGTGTTAGTCAAGCTACAACCTTACCGTCAAACATCAGTAGTAAAGCGTGTTTCACATAAACTAGCCAGACGCTACTATGGACCGTTTAAGATCACACAACGAAATGGTAACGTCGCATATCGACTTGACTTGCCAACGTCGGCACGAATACACCCTGTCTTCCATGTCTCTATGTTAAAAAAGTTTATGGGAGATCAGATGCTTTCTGTCCACCCACTCCCGGAGGAATTTATGGGCTACCACCCCATACTCAAACCAATCGCTATTTGCAGCCAAAGGGAGGTGCTCAGAAATGGAAGGATTGAGCCTCAACTTCTAGTCTAGTGGAGTGACGAACCCCCTGAAAATTCAACATAGGTTCCAACAGATGATTTTAGAAAAATGTACCCAGAGTTTCACCTTGAGGACAAGGTGACATTCGAAGGGGGACCGAGTGTTACACAAATAATTACACAGGACATACGATCACAGTCAGAGAAAGAATCAGAAGAATATCAGCCAGTAGATCAGGAAGATGATGGAGCAGAATCAATAAGGAAAGGAAATAATTTGAGGAGGTCAGTGCGGAATAAAAAATCAATTCAGCACCAAGATTATGCCTATTATTAGTCTTTTATTTATTTTTTGCCTTTTATTAATTTATTACCGTTGCTAACTATGGTCTTAGGAAGCTATTTAAGGTTGGTCTTTGTACTGCAAAAGCATAGCAGAATAATAGAGTTCTCTTTTCCCTTCCTTCTCGTTTTTCATATCGGAGTTACCGTAACTCGAATACGTGTGGAGCTTGAAACTTGCTCGAAAAGTTTCTTTCGTTTTGTACTAGAACTTCAGTACATAACAGACTCGCATGAAGATTTGCTCCTTGTAAAAGCCTGCAGATCTTAGAAACTTGCAGCTCACAGAACTGCTTGCATGTCTCATCAGCTACACTAAATCCCAGCTGCTCATCTTAGCAGCATCAGAGCCACAACTGAAGGACCAGAAATGCCATAGCCGCCTCAGAACCCTTGCAGAAAGGCCATCATCAGGTTGAATTGCATCTGCATCACTTTAGAAATCACTACCTCATTTTTAACCCTCAAATGCTACTCAGTGTTAACATTCTCGTCAGGTTGGGGCTCAGGAAGCCCCTCAAGAAATGCCCAGCTTTGAAGATCAGCTGAGATTCTGCTTCAGTGAGGCCAGAACCAGATGTTGTAGGGCCAGAACCTTAGGCAAGATCTTGACCAGGCCGGAAGATGAAATGGGGCAACCCCTCCATAGCCAAAAGCAACTGGAAACCTTGAGGCAAGCCACCAGGCTTCAAGAAAATCACACTCTCTCCCTCACATCTATTAGCTAAACAGGTGACAATGCAGTTGACACAACCTCTGCAAGTGAGATATTTCACCTCCCCCTGATTAGGGTTCAGATCTAATCCCATCAACTGACCCTGCTCCCCTTCAAAGATCACTCTAGCTCGCTTCTTTCTTCTGCACCAAGCCCAAATAACCAGAGCCATCTCCTTCCATACCTTTCTTAGGCTATCAGCAAGGCCCTTGGTATATGTCCCTGCTAGACAAAATTGCCCACTTGCATTCCTAATGAAGAAGCTGCAAGTCCTCTTGTTCTTACTTGTTGCTAAATTCACTTTGATCCATCCTCTAGGTGGCTTGCACCAACTGTCCTTCTCAACAACTCTTTTGACCCAAAACCCTTTTGCTCTCTTGAGGATGGCCTCCCAGTTGAAAGGAAAGGCATCCCAGGCTGGCCATCTTCTCCCTATACATTCTGTTATATCCTTTGTAACATTGTGGATCACCCTGGCCATTGAGGACTTCCCTCCTCCATACTTGCAATTGGTGTAATTCAGCCACAGTTCCCAAATGATGGCTATGGGAAGCCTATCTATCATAAATTTCTCCAATCTATTCCCTTCCTTTCTTCTCCACCACTGATAGCACATATGCTCTAGGGATCTAAACTGCAAACTCATTTCTATGGAATTAGCAAAGAAGTTCCAGACTGCTCTAGATGTTTCACCTGTACAAAACACATGTTTAAGGGTGCCCCAACTTGGCTTTTGGCAACAATTGCATCTAGATACCACATTATATCCAAACCTGGCCAGAATATCATCCAAGGGGACTTTTCTCTTAAAAACCCTCTAGGCCAAAAAAGACATCTTCCAAGGTATATGTTTTGCCAAGATTTTCCTTGCCCAATGTCTGCTGGAGATTCTCTCCCTCCCATCCTACCTCTCATATTTCTTGGCAGAAGCAAATGAAAAGCTTCCATTACTTTATGGCTTCCACATTGGAATGTCTGGTAAGTTCTCATTCAAAATGATTTTTTCTGCTGCTCTTCTCACCTCAGGTCCCAGCTCAGGCAAGTCCCAACCTCCTTCCCTAAAAAAAACTTTTAATTAAGAGTATCTTTGGCCCTTGATTTTCTATGCAGATTCAAACTTCCAACAATAGACCCCATCCCTGACCAATTGTTCCACCAAAAGTTTACATCTCCCATCCCCACTTTCCACTGAATTTCTCCTTCTATCTTGTCTCTTGCTCTCACCATCCTCCTCCAAATATGGGAGTCCTTGTATTGCCAAGATTTGGACACTGGTGTGCTCTTGAGCAGTATTTTGCCTCCAAATATTTTCTCCAAAGAGTGTCATCAGTTTTAAAATGCCACCATAATTTAGTGGTTGATGCTCCCACCATGTCTCTTATGCTTGTAATCCCACTCCTCCTTTCTCAGTGGACTTAGACATAGACTCCTAGGAACTCCAGTGATGCCTCAGTTTTCCTTATGAATTGCCCCAAAAGAAATCAGCTAGGATCTTCTCTATCTGCTTTATAACTGCCTTGGGAGGGTCCAAGGCTAAGAAAATGTGCATAGGCATACCCTGCAAAACAGATTTTATTAACACAGCTTTGCCCCCTTGAGAGAGCAACCTACTATGCCATCCTCTACACTTAGCAGCAATTTTTTCCACCAAGGATGCAAATAAGCTCACTTTTTTCCTCCCTCTATAGATGGGGCACCCTAAATAGGTGAAAGGAAAACTTTTGTGTTTACACTTAGTCACCCTCTCTATTCTGGAAATAACCTCCCCTCCTACTCCCTCATGCACATAGAAGCCACTTTTCTGTTTGTTCACCAATTGCCCAGACTGGCTCTCATAGATTTCAAGAGTTCTCATTGTTTTTTCTAAAGCATTTCCTTTTCCAGAGGTAAAAATGATTATATCATCAGTAAAAGAAAGGTGGCTAACAGTGGGACCCCCTTTAGCCTGAGAAAAATTAGCCTGGTTTTGACACAACATAGCTGATAAGTGTTCTGCTGCAAGAATAAAAAAGGCTTGGGGATAGGGGGTCCCCTTGTCTAAGCCCTCTAGTGGAAGGGAAGAAACCACATTGATTCCCATTGACAAGAACAGAATACCAAATGTTATTTATATTTCTATTAACCAAGTGTATCCATTTTTCACAAAAGCCAAGCTTTCTAAGGACAGCAAAGACACATTTCCAGGACATCCTATCATATGCCTTTGCCATGTCCAACTTCAAGACCACATCCACATTGGATGCCTTCAACCCATGACCAGTGGCGGAGCCACAATGGGGGCAGTGGGGGTCACTGCCCCCCCCCCCCCCCCCCCCAACTCTTAGTTCTAATATGTAAGTATATGTATAAATCACAAAAGTGTTCAATAGATCAGTGGATTGAACCTTGAATGCAATATGAAATGTCTCAGGCTCGAAACCTACCAATAGCAATTTTATATGTTTTTAGGCTTTTAGCTTCTTATCTTTATTCTAACTCTTTCCACTCTTCAATAAATTAAATGTATTCTTTTTAATTCTAATTTTTTTGCATGTATATTTTAGCTTCTTTTCTTTATTTTAGCTCTTCTTACCATTCAATAAATTAAATATTTTTTAAGTCTACTTTTTTTGTGAATCATTTACTTAATGTAGTCAACAAGTATAGTTTTGGCTAGGTCATTGACTATCTTGTAGTCTATCATAAATATTGTATTATAATTTATAATGTATTTGGACCATATTATAGATGTTTGATGTTTTATCATTGACAATTCTAAAGTTGTGACGAAATATTCAGACAGAATTGTGAAAGATGCAATTTTTTCTTAGAAGTGAGATCTGGAGTTAAATACGCCCCCACTCACATTATTTTCTGGATCCGCCACTGCCCGTGACAAAGTTCTTGGGCAAGGAGGATATTATCTATTATGCTTCTACCTTTGACAAACCCAGCCTGATATGGACCAACAAGCCTTGCAAGAATAGTAGACAGTCTAACCACCAAAATGATTTTTTTTTTTTTAAAGTTGTTTTGAGTTTTAACGTTTTGAAAAAATAAACTGTTACAAAATACTAATTAATCAAACACTCATTCAACTGTTTAACTAAGTCAAATACATAATGATGATTAAACAAGTCAAAATTATTTGATAAGCTAACTATGTTATTAAACATTTGCTAAGTATATTAAAAATAATTCTGCGCCAGGTTTAAGAGTGTATCTTGCTCTAAAGTCAAAACTTATATTCTAAACCAAACAATAAGGCCATATATATTTATGAGTCCACTTGCACAGGCCTCATTGACTCATGGTCAAGTGCTGTTTTCTTCAATTCTTTAATTTCAATCGTTATTCTATCTTTATTTATTATGCACATCAAATGTATTATATAACACACTAATTGCAGCTTATCTTCCCCAGCTAGAACTCAGCCATGTCAGCGGCCATGTTCATAATCCTCATACCAATTATACTACTCTCCTTCAATGCAAGATTTGTTGAAGCACAGACTGGGCATCTTCCTCAAGATGAATGTAAGCCCCCTCAGTTCTCTTGTCTGTTAGTTGTTTTCTTGTTGATCATCAATATAATTTTCTCTAATACTCACTCTGTCGTCATTACTTATGCAAATTACATATTTATTAACACCAAAATTAAAAGTGCTTAATTTTGTTTCATGTATGTATATGGCAGTCGATGCACTTGGGGAAATAGCTAAACAACTGGTCAAGAAGGATTGGAATTTTAGTGTAAATCCTTGTGACAACAACTCAAACTGGATGACACCACAAAGGAATGATATGCCTCTGTACAATAATTCCCTCACTTGCGATTGTAGTTTCGCTGGTGGTGTTTGCCATGTGCAAAGCATGTAATTAATTAAGATCTTCCTTCTATCCAACTCTCTCATCATCTTACATCTTACTTCAAGTGTCTTTGCTGCTTTTTTTTTTTATTTTTTTTATTTTTCGCACATTAATTGCAATTTATATTAAGTGGGTACAGTATTATATCAGGTAATAGCCTTCTTCTTGTTCTTTTTTTTTTTTTTTGGTCTGTAAACAGAGTTTTAAGTGGACAGGATCTGCAAGGTGTCCTTCCTCCTTCCTTGGTGAAGTTACCCTTTCTCAAGACAATGTAACAACACACACTTTCTATGTTTATGCAATTAATAATCTGTTGTATATATTGTTTGGTTGATTAATAATATGATGCAGTGATCTCACCCGCAACTATTTAAGTGGTACAATTCCCCCTGAATGGGCTTCTACCAAATTGGAATATATGTAAGTTGTATTGTGTATTATAACCTAAGCTATATATACAAGTGTAGGCCATCTGCTAAAGAAGTGAAAGTTTGCAGCTCTGTTAGGGTGAATCGATTGTCCGGGCCAATTCCAAAATACTTGGGAAATATATCCACTCTTGTATTTTTGTATGTTCCCTTTCTCCTCTCACATGTATAAGTGTATAACTTTGTTTAACTTTTTTCCGAGGAACTAAATGTTGGGTTTGTCCAAAAACAAATGAATTTCCAGAGACTTGGAGAGCAATATGTTCAATGGAACCGTTCCACCAGAGCTTGGGAAACTTTCCAACTTACAGAATCTGTAAGAACCCTTCTCTTATCTCTAAATATTAATTAAATTTTTGCTATCACTTGTTTGACGCTTTCTCTATTTTTGCTCTCTGTAGCATTCTTAATGCTAATTATCTCACGGGTGAATTGCCAAAAGAACTTAATGCTCTCACAAATTTGACAAAGCTGTAAGTGCATGCATGATGCATATTCCTAATTTATGCAACTCTGATCCTTAATTAATTCGTCATTTCTTCTTGCGGAAATCAATGCAGCAGACTGAGCAGTAATAACTTCACTGGGGAACTGCCTAGCTTTCAAACTTTCAAAAACCTTCAACAACTGTAAGCATTCAAATCTATCACTTCAAAATTGAAATTTCTGGATGATATCATTTTTTAATGACAATTGACAAGCATAATATATGATTCGCAGAGAGGTTCAAGCAAGTGGTTTTGAAGGACCTATACCTGAAAATGTTTCCGTACTGACAAGCTTGACAGAACTGTGAGTTTAGATTTCCTTTGAGGATTTAATTAATAATCACGTTTTGATTATAGCAGAATTTTGTATGGTTAAGATCAACAAACTAAAATGTAATTGTGAACAACATATATAAATCTGCAGTAGAATCAGTGACCTTAATGGAGGCGTCTCCCGTTTTCCTACATTAAACGGCATGACAAACATGACAAATTTGTGAGTAATGCATTTTCTTCCCAAAATTATGATCTTAAGTAAGTTTGATAAATCCTCTATGAAGTGAAGTTATTTATGCAAAAAAATCATCTTGGGTGCAGGATGTTGAGGAGGTGTAATATTAATGGGAAGATACCTAACATAGGTTATATGGAAAGCTTGAAATATCTGTAATTTCTGAAACTTATATGACAAGCTTGCAAGTTAATCTTTAAGTTGATATATATACTTCTCTGCTTGACTATTTTGTTGTCGTATTGAGTTGGCAGAGATTTGAGTTTCAATAATTTAGAAGGAGGGATTGATGGTCTTCAAGGTCTTGATAACGTGCAATTCATGTGAGTAACAAATTAATTTTGATGTTAACAATTATGTATAATTAAGAAACACCATTCTATTTGGTCATATTGTTCTAACAGAAAGCTAATTAAACAACATTCTAGTTATGTTAGTTTCTAATACTCATGTGGTTGTCGTTCAAGGTATCTCACCAATAACTCATTTAGAGGACCGATTCCTCAGTGGTTTCTTAGTCAAAATTCCAAACAGTAAGTTTAATTTTGTCTTATACATTAGATGATTGGTTATATGAGTTTTCAACTATTCTTTGTCATAAAATGTACTAACAGATTCTAAAAGTTCGTTAACAGTGACATAGATCTTTCCTACAATAATTTTGATGAGAGCTCAGTGCCAACAAATTGTCGGGAAAACTTGTAAGATTCTGTCCATTTTATACCTCTACTCTTTCAAGTGTTCCTTTAGGCATGGATTGTTTTAGCTGACTTTCTCATTGTTCTATCAGAAATTTGTTCAAAAGCTATAAGAAAGGAGAAAGCAATTCGTAAGTTTTAACATCTTTTGACAAAGCATATAATCTATTGTCTGAAATTTTTTTTTTTTGAAAGTATTGTCTGAGTTTTTTACTTGAGCTCCCATTTTGGCTTTGTATAGAGATGCTGCAAAGTGTTTACAACAATGTACAAAGGGTAAGCATTGGACATCATATCATAATACTTGCACCACGCCAATAAATATTGTTGATAAGCAATCAGAATCATTAATATAGTTAATTTTATTTTTCCATTTTTCTGCAGATTGGTATTCATTTCACATCAATTGTGGTGGGGGCATTGTTTTGATTGGTGACACTACATATGAAGCAGATGAAGATTCTACAGGCTTCGCAAAATTTGTTCCCAAGGCCACTAAAGAGAATTGGGCAACCAGTAGTACAGGGGTCTTCTGGGATAGAAATAGAACACTAGATGACTATACAGCAACAAGTAATATATCTGACGTTCCTGAAATCTACAACACAGCTCGCTTGTCTCCTTTATCTCTAACTTATTATGGGCGATGCTTAGCAAATGGAAACTATACGGTGAAACTTCATTTTGCTGAAATAGTTATCAGAGATAATAGATCTTTTCAAAGTCTTGGAAGACGCATATTCGATGTTTATATGCAGGTAGCTAGACTGAGAAATTACCATATAAACTGAGGACTTCACTTGTTAAATGTTGTGCATTTGTTTGACTATAGTGATTTTATTTACTACAGGGTGAAATGAAACTAAAGGATTTTGAAATTAAAACTGAAGCGCAAGGAGTTGATAAAGCCTTGGTTAAAGAATTTCAAACAATTGTCAGAGATAAAACTTTAGAGGTGCGCTTTGTATATGCTGGGAAAGGAACAAGAGCAGCCCCACATCGAGGAACATATGGACCTTTAATATCTGCCATTTCTGTGGAATTTGGTAAATTTAGTTATGGCTTCCATATTTTTAATTAATAGCACATATTTATATATTTAGATTTTTTTAAATATTTTTGTTACTTTGTAGCCAATTCTGTAGATTTTAAACCTCCCAAAAAGCGAAAGACTTTAATCATAGTTGGTGCAGTAACGTCTTCTTTGTTTCTTACTTTCACAATTCTATGCTTTGCTTGGTGGAAGATCTCCATAAGAAAGAAGACCTCACCTCGAAAGGGTAATATATGCATTTATTTGTAATTACTTTCTAATTTTGTATAAGACACTTGGACGTATGGACTTGCAGATTCAATCCCAAAACTCATTCTTTCTAGAAGTAGAAATTTCCTTAAAGTAGTTGCTCTTGTACAGAACTACGAAATTTTGATCTACGAATAGGACTGTTTTCCTTCACACAAATTAGAGTCGCTACAAACAATTTTGATGCTTCAAATAAGATTGGGGAAGGTGGCTTTGGGCCTGTCTACAAGGTATAGTGAAATATGATTATCCATAATATTTGTTTATTCATGCATTGACATTTTTGCTTTTGGACTTATTTAGATGCTTGTGTTAATAACCTTGGATTTTTCCTATTCTATAGGGTACATTATTGGATGGTACAGTTATTGCTGTAAAACAACTCTCATCCAAATCAAGTCAAGGAAATCGCGAATTTTTGAATGAAATAGGCATGATTTCTTGTTTGCAACATCCTAATCTTGTGAAACTTTATGGGTGTTGTGTTGAGGGAAAGCAATTGCTGCTGGTGTACGAGTACATGGAAAACAATAGCCTTGCTCATGCTCTTTTTGGTAAAATTGAAATCGTAATTCAGCTACTCATAATAAAAACAATTATTTTCTTTATATGTATATGCATGTAAGATATGCTACTAGAGTAGAGAGGGTTTAGTTTATTTTATTGAGATAAGGATAAGTGTTTTGAGTTAACAGTTAATTATAGGTTTAGAAGAGTGTCAACTGATGAAAATATGCTGGCCTTTCCGACAAAGAATCTGTCTCGGTATTGCAAAAGGTTTAGCTTTTTTGCATGAAGAATCAGCAATAAAGATTGTTCATAGAGACATAAAAGCCACCAATGTGCTTCTTGACAAAGAACTCAATCCAAAAATTTCTGATTTTGGCCTTGCTAAACTTAACGATGATGGGAATACACATATTAGCACAAGAGTTGCAGGGACAATGTAAGTGTTATCTTGTATAGTTTCCTTATTTTGCATTTCCAAATTCTTCATATAGTTGAAAGTAACTGTAGGCTGCATAAACAACTTTATTTTTAAAAAGTTTATTGATGTTCTGATGCATTGCAAAAGTTTTTGAATTGATTACTTCAATCTAACAAATTTTGGATCTTCTGACTTCATTATACACTTCTCTACGTTGAATATCTTTCAAGTAAATGAACTATTACTCTTTACTTATCTATAGAGGATACATGGCTCCTGAATATGCAATGTGGGACTACTTAACATACAAAGCAGATGTCTATAGTTTCGGTGTAGTGGCACTAGAAATTGTTGCAGGGAAGAGCAACATGAAGTATCGTCCTGATGAGAAATTTATTTGCATCCTTGATTGGGTGAGATATCAGTACTACAAAACCCAATTCATTGATTGTAGACCTTACAAACTAAGTGGCATGTTCTTATATTCTACTATGTTTTGTTGTATTTATTGCACAATTTTCAGGCACTTGATCTTCAGAAAAAGGGGAACCTAATGGAGCTAATTGATCCAAAATTGGGTTCTGATTTTGACAAAGAAGAAGCACTCAGAATGACCAGAGTGGCTCTGCTTTGTACTAATCCTTCACCAGTCCTAAGGCCATCCATGTCTGAAGTAGTCAGAATGCTTGAAGACCATGATGATATTCTTGAGTACAAATCCGATCTACATGAATTCAACTTTCAAGCAATAAGAAATCATTATGATGAAATGCTAGTTAATTCAAGCGATTCTCCAAACATCTCAGAGTGCACATATCTAAATATGGAATTACAATAGTCCGTGGTGTTAGAAAATATTGGTTTTTGGTGTAAAAAAAGTCAAGGAAAAACAAGATTCAATAATTTTGTGTATCAAATACACTTTCAACAAGTTTTAAATCATTTTGTATGTGCAATTTGGGTCTTATAGTAAAACTTGTGAGATACAAAAAACTTATAAATTAATCAGGTTACAACGAGATAATTCGATCAACTAGGTGATAGAATGTTATGAATTTGCAAAAAAAAAAATAATAATAAATAAATAAATAAATATATATATATATATATATATATATATATATATATATATATATATATATATATATATATATATATATATATATATATAGATATAGATATTGGATCCAATGAGACTCATATTTTGATGAGACGGTAAGATGTAATCTGGTTCGTTTATTTTTATTTTTTAACGGTTTTGATCTTTTGATTTTGGATCCCATGTGCTGATGGTTTGTAAAGGAGTTAGGGTCATTGTGGTCTTTTGCTTGTGTTATTAATTCTGATCCCTTAATTATAGCGCGCGTGTGTAGTAGAGGCAGCGTTATTTTTGGTATCAAATAAACTTCAAGTTTTAGAATTCGAACCAGTGTCTCTTCACATCACCCCTATCGATTCACTTCCCCCTCTGTCAATTTTCTCCACCGGCGCTCTTCACGCTGACATCGAATTTCACAGTTGCTCGCGATTCTACGACTCAAAGATCCAAACGTTAAAAGTAATCTGTCACCGTCCATGTGCAAGGTATGATTCTTCTCGGTTTTTCCTTTTTCTCGTTATTGGTTGTGTTTTTTGGTTAATTTTTTGTGTGTTTGGGTTTATTACTGTTTTTTTTTTCCTTTTTTTTTTGGGTTATGAGTGGCGGCGTGGGGGAGGGGGGATGGGGTTCTGGTTTGATTTTGCAGCAGAGGAGGGGGTGTGTGGTGTGTAGGTTTGTTAGTTAGAGTTTTAATAGGGTTTTCTTTGTTTTTAGTGGAGGTGGGGGTTTGATCGTGTATCAGAGAGTGCTTTTTCCATACTCTTAATACCAGCATATGCATCTCCACTTAGATGATGTGCTTTCTCCCTTAAAGTCTTTGGTCTTTGCAGTATGTGCGTTCATTGTGCGACGTTTGTGCGTAATACTTTGATTACTAATTGGTTGGTGCGTTCTACATTTTCAGCTTGTGCGTAACATTGTAATTAGTAATTCGTTCAAGCGTTCTACGTTTTAGGCTTGAGCGTTAAGTCTCTAAACAAATCACAAGTGTTAATAAAATGGGTGATTGGATAATTGTATTTATTTTATTGAGGTATTTGTAAGATTGGTGTTATTTTTTCGAATTCTTGAATTCATATATTATATTTTATTTTGTTTTTATAAACTTAATATTCTCATCAAATTCGTATCCCATTCATCTAATCCACCTTAGCTTTTAGTGATTTACATCTGTTTATTCCACATTAAATATTGTGTAGCATATGAGAGTAGTAATTATTGTGTGCGTTATTAGTATGGGGTTTGTGCGTAATATTGTAATTAGTAATTCGTTGATGCGTTCTACGGTTTAGGCTTGTGCGTAATGTTATATTTTTAGGATCCGAATATGCGGGTGTACGGTGCTGTGTGGATGTGTGTGTGCTTTGTAGGACATATTTGAAGTTTGGGTTCATTAATGTTGGTTTTGTTTTAAGTATCCGGAATATATTTTGTTTTTTGTTTGTTTGTTTTTTTTTTTTTTGGTATGTAAGGTACCTTTAATCGTGATTGGCTTGTCATGTTCTCATTTATTATAATATTGTTCCTCGTATTTTACTGGCAATTAGTGTATGCGTTCTTGGAGTGACGTTTGTGTGTAATACTGTAATTGCTAATTGGTTGGTGTGTTTTAAGTTATAAGCTAGTGCGTAATATTGGGCTCCTGGGATCCTGATTCTGGTCTGTGCGTTAGAGGGGAAAAGTGGGTGCTCAGGAGTTTGGTTATGTTTTTATCTGTTATGTGGTAACTTTTGTTGCTCATAGTGATTTTTTTTTTTTTTTTGGTATGTCTAGGTGTCACGGCTGCAGAGACGGTAGATGCGGTAGAGGCTGTACATGTGATGCCCTCCGAGGATGTTGAAGCACCCCCTGTTCCGCCACCGGACACGAATTCTGACGAGGAGGATGATGGGTTAGATGCGAACGACTTGATACTATTTCCGCTTTTGAAGATTCGTGCTTCTCCCAAGCACTTGGTTGCAACGATGAGGCGGTTCAATGCTTGTCAAAAGAGACTGGTTTGTGAATAGTCGGGGGGTGTGTTGACACTGGTTTGTGCATAGTTGGTAGTTAGTGGGTGCATTTTTCTGTGTATTAGGTTTGTGCGTGCCATCATGGTCTGTGTTGGGTCAAAGTCATATCACACAATAATATGTGCGTGGGGGATATTGACGTGTGCATGTTGCTGTAATACTGCTTTTGGGGAGGGAGGGGGTGGTTCTTGCATTTCTTTGCATGTGTTTGTTTTAGTAATTTCCTTTTTTACTATTGGCCATTGTTATTTTATGTCACGTATCCGATGTTGTGCATTTTATAACTCTAGAAATGTAAATATTTGTAATCAGGGTTTGTTGGCACTGGTTCGTGCGTAGTTGGCCCTTATTATTCCCAAGGATGCACACTCCGTCATTAAAAAATGCACACACCATATTACTATTCCCAAAGATGCACACTCCGTCGTTAAAAAACGCACACACCCCATTCCATTCACTAACCAAATAACAGCTATACCGTCTTATTCATTCCAAATTAATATACAACATTCCTTTCACGCACACCCATTATAATACTTATTTTAGGGACAAACTACTTCATTTCAGGCACACCCATTATAATTCTATTGCTTATGGTGCACACTCCGCATTAAAAGAACGCACAAACCGGTTAATACACTAACTAAATAACACACATACCGTCTAATTCAGACAAAATGAGCACACAAGGGATTTAACGCACATCCATTATTATAAAAATAATTTCCGAACCCTTGATGAATGTCACATCGCATCAAAACCCTTGTATTGCACGCAGGACAACACCAACAGAAAACATCATATAAATATCCCACATGTTTCTTCATCCCCTAGCTTATTAAGTCATTACAGGCAGCCAAACAATTCAACACCACTACTGTAAACATATTCGACGCACATACCTTTTATCACGCACGCATAGCCAGCCAAACAATAACTTATTCGACGCACAGACCTATTATCACGCAAGCACAGACCTACGAATAATGATTCAAGAATTATTAACGATAACAAGTCTCATACCTGTGTTGTCATCCATCTTCAACCTCTGCACCCTACTTACAATCAAATATCAGAACATAACGGCAGTAATATTATAAATGTGGAGTATATTTGTATACTGTTTATTTCCATAATATTTGTAATCTTTGATTATGGCAAAGATTCCAATCTATTTATAACCAAAAATACCACATGCATACAATTACTTTTACACCCCCTATTTAAAAAATAAACTTATTTAGCATTAAATTCCTCATTAATCTCATCCATCCATTTCAATTTAACAAATGGATGGGATGTCATCTCACCATCTCATTTTATAAGGGGGTCTCATGGGATCCGCACCCTCTATATATATATATATATATATATATATATATATATATATATAAAGATTTTTGTTTTATATAATACTCCGTATATGCTAGGCATTTTTTATTTTTTTTTTTACAATGGTTACATCATGGGCTGGGATTCATATGATAACGTGGACTCAAGTCATACACACTAAAAAAGATCATAATATATCAAACATGTTATAAAACATATTTAGTGGACATCATTTGTAACGGACGTAACGGAAGCTTTGATTGCTCATTATGTATATTTATATCTTTTGTATTATATATTGATGGACATACTTTGTATCAAGTAGAAGAGATGAATAAGATGACACTTCTTCCCTCTCCATTTTTGTGTATTCCTTCTTCTTGTTCTTCTAACTTCTATGATTATACAACACGTTATCAGCGCTTTGCTCTAACCAAAATTCTCTGGCCTCTCCCCCATGGAAAACAACGTTTGGCCGAAACCTTGCAACGCATTTTCCGGTGTCAGCGGTCTTCGAATCGACGATCTGCTCCAGCTATCCTCTCCGCCTCATTGAGGCGGTTATAGAGGTGGGTCAGCCGCCTCCAGGTTCGGTGGATCGAGCGTTAGATCGTGTCCTTGAAATCCTGTATGATTTGCGTCGTAGGGGCGTCACTTTGTCACCCTCGGCGATTCGCCGGCTTCAGGCTGGCGATGGAGGTCCGAGACAGTCAATAGGCGTTGCCAACATCCAACCACATCATCGCAATCATCAATTCCCCGGTCCCCATCAGTTTGCGATCTCTCAAATCGCGACCCATATGGTTAACAATATGCTCTCTGTGGCTAATACCGTAAGCAAGTCATATGTTGCGTGATTCTTTCAAATTCATGGGGAGCCAATTGAGGTATGATTTTTTTTTATTGCCTCTTGCTGGTTGCTTTGATTATTAAGGCTAAATAATATTGATTTGCCTATTACGTAATTAGTGGTTGATTTGGCACTAATTTTGGTAGCTGTTGTTTATGGTAATTATATATTGTTTATTACCATTAATATGAGTTTCAGAGATGTTATGATTTTGCATTCTGGCCTTATCAAGATTATAATTTTGAACATCATATTTTTTTTTAACCTGTTTTATAATATCAAGGTTTTAGGTAATTATCACTACTTAGGTATTAATATCTGGTAATCTTTACATTTGGCATCTAATGTTTAAGGAAAGGTTATGCTTACCATAGCAGATTTTGTGCTTCTTGATTACCATTAACATGTTACAGTGATTATTATCATCATTGATGGTTTTTAAAGATGATTGTCATCTTGTAGTGATCTTCCTTATATTACCTTTAATATTGAGTTCATATAGCTAGCAATGATGTGCCTTGTGCAACCAAATTGTTTCAATGACTATTCTCACATTGAAAACAAAAAAATTTGACCTTCAATTAAATGCTAAGAAATGTGATTTTGTATCATGGTTTTGGAAAAGGCATTGTTTTGTGGCAATTAGATATTGCATTTGTTTTGATTTGCCATAATAATCTTGATTATGATATGGGAATCATATTTTAGAATTCCTATTGAAATTGCTTATT